GTCATAGTGGACTAGAGCTGTGATCCACTGGGTCAGTCTGGACATATTTATTTGAGGAGGAAAAGATGTAGACAAAGCTTCAAATGCAGTGACTCAGGCTCTGCACTAGAAGAACCCATCTAGTGCAGAATGCCAGTGAGCTAAAAGTACAGTGTTCTGTTCTTAGTTCTGAAGTGACAAGAACGAATCCTTGGGCCAGGATAAACATCACAGTCAAGAATCTGAGAGGAACTAGCTGTCAGGCAGAAGAGAAAAAGGAGTTTCCAAATTAGCCCTTTCAAAGTTAAAATAGGCAGAGGACATGATGGCCATATAGAGTAAAAATGGGAAATGAAAGGTTCAATATCAGAAAAACCAACTATGGAAAGACATAATCTCCCTTGAAGAAGCCTTCAAGGTCGCTTGATTATGAGATATTTATAGAGATAAGGCTTGAGTATCTCAGTATAGTTAAGGTAGGTAATGAGTCTAATTGTCACCAGGTGCTGGTAGCTCACACCTGTAATCCTAGCTACTCAAGAGGCTGAGATCTGAAAACTGTGGTCCAAAGCTAACCTAGACAGGAAAATCTATGAGACTGTCATCTCTAATGAATTTCCAAAAAGTAGGAAGTGGAGTTGTGGTTCAAATGGTAGAGCTCAAGAGTCAGGAATAGAACCCAGGCCCTGAGTTCAAGCCCCAAGATTGGCATTATAAAAATTGAATAATAAAAGAGTAATTGTATCTGAGCAGTTCCTGACAACCTGACCTTCCTCAATGGTTCACTCATCTTGATCTCCTCACAGAAAAAGTGAAGCTACTAGGTTTTTCCTGGGCCTGTCCCCTCCTCGTTTCCATTTAAAGACTATGTGATGATTATTAGGGAAGTATAAATCAAAACTACAATGATATTATCAACTTACATTCACTAGGATACTACAATCAAAAAGACCAACAGAGCTGGGTGCCTGTGGCTCACGCCTATAATCCTAGCTACTCAGGAGGTTGAGATCTGAGGATTGCAGTTCAAAGCCAGCCCCAACAGGAAAAGTCCGTGAGACTCCAGTAAAACCACCAGAAAACCAGAAGTGGTGCTGTGGCTCGAGCGGTAGAGCTCTCTGAGCTGAAGAGCGCAGGGACAGTGCCCAAGCCCAGTGTTCAAGACCAACAGTAAAAAGTGTTGGGAAGAACATGGAGCCAACAAAACCCTTATACCCTGGAGGCAGGGCTAGAAAGTGGTGCTGATGCTTGAAAACATGGTTCAGTGGTTGCTCAGAAAGTTAAACATGCTATTTTCATATTACCCAGCAATTCCACAGCTGGGGGATGCGACCTAGAGACTTGAAAACCTATTTCCATCCAAACACAAATAAATGTGTATATGCAAATATCCCTAGAAGCACTCAGAATAGTCTGTCAACCAAGGGATAAATGAGAAGTTTGGTACAGAGAAACTGGGAAAACTTGTCATATGCCACAACAGAGATGAACCTTGGAGACACCATACTAAATAAACTAGACCAGGGACAAAAGATAAATGTTTATGATTCCACGTCTGTCATGTATGCAAAGTATCAAATTCATAGAAACAGAAAATAGGATACTAGCTATTATGGCTGGAGGGAGAAAAGAGATGTCTCGTGAACCTCTTGTGTCCTTTATGTGTATAAAGTGGAAGCATGTGTATATGTGGAAGCATTGTGGGGGCCTGTGTATAACAATGTAAATAATCTTAGCACTGCTGAACTGTACAATAAAAAGCAATGATGATGGCAAGTGTGATTATGTGCTTCCTACCTTGTCAAATATTTCTCAAACTGGATAAATATGCATATAAAACATAAAGTTGAATATTATTCAACAGTAAAAAATGAGGTTAAAATAAACTAATGAAACACGGAGTCACAGCTGTGACATGGCTGAGCCTGGGAAATAACATGTTAAATAAAGGACACCAGACATGAAAAGTCACATACTGTGTGATTTTGCTGTTTCTCTCATCCCTACAGATTCTTTTGTCTCACTTGTTGGTCCCATATACATCCATAGAGAGAGAGAGAGAGAGAGAGAGAGAGAGAGATAGATAGATAGATAGATAGATAGAGGGCCCAACCTGGGGCTCAAACTCAGGGCCTGGGTGCTGTACTTAGCTTTTTTTGCTCAAAGCTAGTACTTCACCACTTGAACTATAGCTCTACCTTCTGCTCTTTGGTGGTTAGTTGGAGATATGAATGTAGATATACATAGTTCCATATGGCTGCTTGAATCTTTGTACCTATTATTTAACTGAGTGTGTGTGTGTGTGTGTGTGTGTGTGTGTGTGTGTGCTGGCAGCATTTGTAACAAGCCAGAAGTAGATGGAGGTTGGTGGCCTGCTGGTTATTATAAACATTATAGATTCCTTAAGCAGAGTTACATTGTTGGCTTGTTCTTGTCTTGATTCATTTTGCTTAAAAATTCTCCCAAAATTCATTTAAAATTGCAGAAAACTTTCAAAAGAAGTAAATACACCATAATATTCAAGAGGAGGAAGAAAGACCAGAGATTTTTTATAATTTCTAGAAACAAAGCAGATAGGATAAACCACAAAATCTACAACTGAGGAGTTGTAGATAAGGAACCATATATAAAGGTTCCTGTCTGTAATCTCAGCTACTCAAGAGGCCATCAGAAACACCACAGTTCTAGACCAAACTAGGCCAAAAAAAAAGTTATAAGACCCCATTCCAACCAATCAAAAGCTAGGCTTGGTCTGTCTGCTACAGCAGGAGGCTGTAGGATTGGAGTCCATATTGGCTAGAGTAGAAAGGATGACCCAATCTCAAAAAAATAACCAAAGATATAAATAACAAAAGGGCTGAGTCTGTAGCTTAAGTGGTAGCATGCCTATTTAGGCAAAAGGCTCCAAGTTCAAATTCCAGTATCACAAAAAAAAAAAAAAAAAAGGATGACAAAGATACTCCGGGTAGAACCTTGGAGAGTTCTCAACTCAGGTACGGGAAGAGAGTGAATTATGAATCACCAAGGAACTCCTTTTATCCAATGACCTTTACAAGTGTTTAGTCACCTGCCACCAGATCCACTCCCAGTCATCAGCAAAACCATCCATATGGATAAATGACACGTCCAGCAATGACACTAAGCCAAGAGCTTTCTAGCTAAAGCCATTGAGGATTCTACACCTAAACTTTTCTTGTGCTCCTCCTCACTGGGTGCAAATGTAGGTGATAATTGTCTGCAACATATATATATATATATACATATATATATATATATGTATATATATATATATTGCTTATATATATATAGCTTTTATTTTCCAAGAAAAATGTTAAAAACATACTGTGTAGCACATTGAAGGCAACACTTAAAGAAACACAAGACTTTCATAAGAGGCCCTATGGTTGCAATACTTCCATAACAGGCCCTGTGGTAACACAAACATCCTTGCTTCCTTACTAATTCCTTATTATCACAAAGATTCCCAGGAAAGCTCCTGTTCTTGAACCCCTATTTTCACTGTATTTGATGTTGGTATAATTTGGGGAGGGGAAGGGACAAAACAAATTGTTTAAACAGGGATACAGGTTGACCCATTGCAACAATAAGATGTACAAGATGCTATGTTGAAAAACAAATTTTACGATTTAGGCAGTGGGTAGGGAGGGTGGAGAGGTGGGGGGAGTGGGAGGGGGTGTAGTTGTGGAGATGGGAGGGAAGGGATGGTAGGGGAAAAACAAAGGAAGAGACAACAATGCTTGATAAGAAATGTACTCATTACCTTGCTCATGTAACTGTAACCCCTCCTCTGTACAGCATTTTAACAATAAAAAATGCATTTAATAAAAAAAGAATGATTCTTTTATGATAACTGCAATATAGATCCAGTTATCAATCCCATACATTTAACCACCAAGATATATTCCTGTTACAATTTTCCATACATTCTTCCTAACTTTGATGTTCACATAGACAAAGTTTTAGTGTTTCAAGTCACAAACTACTTTGTACACTTTAGTTCATCTTCAACACCTATAACACTCTTACACCACCAGTGTTCAATAAATATTAGTTGAATGACTGAGCTTATTCCTATTCAGTAAACATTGTTTTGTGGCCTCCTTTTTAACTTCTGCTTGGAATTCTCATGCATGAATTATTATCACTTACCTAATCAAGCCCTGGAGGACTGAGAAGAAAGGCATTGTGGGGGACACAGACACATGTCATGCAGTTCCCTTCCAGGGAAGCCTGTGGCCCAGCTCCTGGGAAGACCTGCCACCACCTGTTTTCAGATCCTTTCAATAATTACTTCATGGGATGAGTACAGTGCCTCATGCTTATAATTCCAGGTACTTAGGAAGCAGAAATAGGATGATCACAGTTTGAGGCCAGCCTAGGCAAAAATTATGCAAGACCCTACCAAAAAAATAACTCATCTAAAGGGATTTAGGGATTCCAAGGGATGGAGGTGCAGCTCAAGTGGAACACTTACCTACCAAGCACAAGGCCTTGAGTCCAACCCCAGTACCACCAAACAAAAGCAAAGCAGAATTGTTTCACCCAGAAGAAAGCTACCTTCCCAGGGCAACGCATATTTGTTCTTCCACACAGACAAATCATGGAAGGAGCCCAGTGTAGAACTATAAAAGGCCAGCATGTCCTATATTGCACTTGTCTCTCTCTCTCTGCCAGATCTTGTTTCTCCCCTGCCCTTCCATGGCTGAGAATCTCAGGACACACTGTAATAATTACACTGCATCCTGGACCATATGGTACATGCAAAGATCTGTCTCCAAGGCCACTCCTGAAGAAGTTCACTTGTGAGCTCTGATAAATGCACTTGGTAGTTTCCTGCCTTCCTACCTTTACCCATCCCAACACCAGGTTAACTCAGCCACAGTGCAACAGACTAGGGTATGTTATTCATCCATTCAAGGAAATGTTCTGGGTGCTATGTGAGACATGTGCTAACACCCGAGAGAAAAGAAGAGGAAAGGGAAGAGGGAAGGGATGTAGGTTTGCTTCAGAAGCACATACACTAAAGCTGAAACAGTATAGAAAAGACTTGCATGGTCTCTGCACAAGAATAAAATGCAAGATTCATAAGTATTCCTTATTTTCAGAAAATACATAAAGACTAAAAAGGAAGGAAGAAGTTGGATATCACCAAGTAACTACTCGAACACCTTCTTGGGAGTGGGGGGTGCTGAATTTCTACTGATCTGTTTGATTCCAAGGTATCTTGCTCCTTAATTAGTCTTTAGACTGCTCAATATGTGAGTATTATGTGGGCAGTTAGATCAGGAATATAGCATGGGGAAGCTAAAGGAACTAAAACTAGGCCAGCTGCTGTCATCCTATCTACTCAAGAGGCTCAGATCAGAACATCGAGGTTCAAAGCCAGCTTGGATGGAAAAGTCTGTGAGAGTCTTCTCTCTAATTAGCCAGGAAGAAATGGGAAGTAGAGCATAACATTGAACTAAAAAGCCAAGCAAGAGTGTGAGGCCCTGCGTTTAAATCCCAGTACCAGCATAGAAAGGAAGGAAGGGAGGGAGGGAGGGAGGGAGGGAAGGCAGTGGGGGGGAGAGAAAAAAAGTCCCTGAAATTAGACACATCCTGCACAAGCAATACAGTATCAGCATCATTAAAAGTGATCATAAACAGGCCTTTTAATACACAAGCGTAGACATCATGATCAAATCGTAGCAATCAAAACAAATCAACTAAAAGTTAAAAACCCTGAGTTTGTATTTGAAGAAGAAAAGTCTGGACTTGGGGGAAAAATCCAAAGAAGTGATGAGCTGAGCTCCAGCTCTGCCAACACAGCTTCCTGCTACTCCCAGCCACAGCCAGGCAGGTTCAGGCAGTATTAGGCTCAGCCCATGTGAGATGCAGTCTCCCAATCACATACCACCCTGCCCCGGGACCAGAGGTTCACAGAAGGGCTGCTGGGTGGAAAGGCACCTGGAGCTGCTCTTAGCGGACTGCAGAGTAAACCGAGTGAAAAGGAGAAGGAGGAGAAGGAGTCTACTGCTCTGGGAGAACGCCTCACAGAGATCCCCCGCACCCGTCAAGGTACAGTTGTTTTCTTGAGAACAAATAGAGGGATGGGAGGGAAAAGGAGAAATTATATTCTTGGCTCATACAGTCTGTCCCTTTTTGTCACTTAAGATATCATCGCCCTTCTTGATCATTCTCTCCAATAATCTTTCCCTTTGTCCCTCAGAGAGAAAGCCTCTGGTCTTTTCTGTTAGAATTCATTCTTACAACTTCAGAAATCTCCCTGCCAACCCTTAATGGGATTTGTGAAGCAATGTACTCACACTAACAGTTCTACCTGATAATCTATTGATTGGAATAACTCAACAAATTAACTTTATCATCTACAGCCTGTGATTTTTTTTTTGCTAATTTATTTTTACTCTTTGCTAATTAGTTATCCAGAATCTGGAGGCCCTACAAGTATAATTTTTGTTCTAACATTTTAATGCAAAATACAACTTAAGTTTCAAATAATACTAATATTATGTTATGTTGATGGCTGTAAGCCAAAAAGTACTAGTTTTAAATATTTCTTAAAAGACATTTAAGAAGTTTTTTTACTAATTTTGCTTTCTTTTGAAAATTAAAGAAAATGGTAACTGACCGTTTCTTGCCTGTGTGGAGTAAAAGTACAAGAGGATAACTTGGGTTTTATGTATATACATATGACAAGATGTTTTATATACATATATAGCATCATATATACTATGTCATAAACATACATAAAACCATGTTGGTAATACACTTTTCAAGCTTTGTGAAGGAATGTTCTTTTGATTAATCTTCTCGATGAGAAAAAAAAATCATTTGCTTTCTATTTATAGCAAGCTGTTTACCTTTCTGCTTTACCAGACTTCAAAATAAACGCAGCTAGGCACTTGTAATACTAGAAACTCAGGAGTCTGAGATCTGAAGACCACAGTTCAAAGGCTGGAAACAGAAAATCCATAAGAACTTTATTTGCAATTAATCCATTGAAGATCTAGAAGTAGAGCTGTAACTCAAATGATAAGTCACCAACCTTGAGCAAAAAAATTTAAAAAAAGATTAGGGACAGTGTCCAGGCCCTGAGATCAAGCCCCTGGACTAGCACACAAAAAAAATCAATTCAAAGAGGAAGTAGGTAACATTTTAATAGTCAATAAGATAAATGTTGACTGAAAAAAATCAACTCAGCTACATTTTCTTAAGTACTTAGGAAGATTCGTGGACTTTTAACTACTAAGAGGACTTGACAGACCATTTAGTTAAGAAAAGTAAATGAGATGTCATCATTTCCTTGTTACTCCTCCTTACATTCTTTTTCTGTGTGGTTCTGGGGTTTGATCTCAGGGCCTCACATTTGCACTTGGTTCTTTCTCTCAAGGCTGGGGCTCTACCACCTGAGCCATACCTCTGCTTTCAGCTTTTTGCTGGTTAATTGAGGATGACTCTCACAGGCTTTTCTGCTCAGGCTAGCTTCAAACCTCCATCCGCTGATGTCAGCCTCCCGAGTAGCTAGGATCATGGGCTCAAATCAGCCCTAAATTCCAAGGTATCCTGTTCTGGCATCTGGACCCTATAGGTCACTGTGGCCTAACTGGTACAGAGACCACCCTTATGAAGAGATGTCCTGATCTCACATCCTCCACCATGTTCCTGCTCTGGGGCTGGCATCCCCACACTGGTGAGCCCCTGTGCCACTGGTTGCCTTTAGCCCTTGACCTCAGGTGGTGAGTGACTGAAATCAGGATAGGGAGTAGCAGAATGTAGAGCAACACTGTCCAATAGAAACTTCTGTGTGGTGGAAATGTCCAAGACAGATCCCCTGATCAGCTGGGGTTATGGAGCTCTTAGTGTGGCTTGAGCAACTAAAGAACTGAAGTTTTACCTCTAGTCAAATGAATTTGACTTGACTTGACTTTACATAGCTGCAGGTATCTACTCGTTTATCACTTGTGTCAACACAGCTTTAAAGACAAGGGGGAAAATGCAGATGGTATGGCACTTGTAACAGTCACAGCCATGGAAATATGTTCCTATTCCATCATTGTCAAGAGCCCATCCCACCCTGCGTTTCAGCAGAGTTTCAACTGTCATCATCCCAAACCTACCACCCACGTGTATTCTAAGGCATGCACTACTGTCTTCTCTAAGCCTGAGTTTCAGGGTCAAGGCTTAGGGGACAGTATAATGTGTTTCTGGATTTCCCCCCCTCTCCTATTTCTCCTTTATTTTCTTCTTCTCTTGTTAAATACACATTTCTCTGGCATGAGTAGGACTTGAGGTGTGGTTTGTATGTTCTCTGGTGCAGAAACTTGGGTTAAGAAAAAGAGGTAATGAACCCGAAAATATGATCTCATGCTTAAGCGGGTGAGTCTCACTTCTCTCTGCTTTCAACCCTGGCTTGTTTAGGGAGCCATTGTTCTTAGACCTATTGGATGTATTGGGAAGTATCACTCTGTGGATATGAGTGATTTTTTATAACAAAATAAACTGATTAAAGGCATGAGGCGCAAGGATGGTAGCATGAAATGTATCTCCAGTTGTTTTTTCATTAGTACTTCTCAAAACAAAGAAACTCCAGGATGTTGAGCAATTTACATCCTTGTAGTGACAAGTCATGGGAAGGGAGGGGAGCCCCCAGGGACTCTTCCCCTACCTGTGAAAATCAGGAGGTGGGCTGGTGAGCTGTACACTGGAGTCTGCAGTGTGATTACTGTTATTTCTCTTTTGAATACTGGGACTTGAACTCAAGGCCTTGCACTATTGCTTGGCTTTTTCATTCAAGACAGACAGTCTCCCACTTGAGCCACACATCCATTTCTGCATTTTGCTGGTTAATTGGAAATAAGAGTCTCTCCAATTTGTCTGTCCAGGCTGACTTTGACCCTCAGAACTCACACTCCTGTGTATCTAGGATTACAGGCATAAGCCACCAGCATCCGGAAGGTCTGTTCTTGTCAGTTAGTTTATTTGGTTTTTTTGTTTGTTTCTTCATTAGAAAAACAAATGAACCCATATTTTAGAAACCTTCATCATTCCCTGGCTAATTAACTGTGGTCTGTCTTCCTCAAGAAACTAAGGCAAGAGCAAAGAAAACTAATATTAGTCAAATCACGAATACTGTATGAGAACTTCACTTTTATTCTCATTTAAATCTTAAAAACCCCTTGCAGCTAGCTATGACTCTGCCCATTGACAAAATTTACTAACTAGCTGGGGAGTCACAAAACCACTAAGTGGTTAAAGCCAAGCCTTGAACCAAGATCTGTCCAAAGTCTATGTTCTTTCTGCTTCACTCTTCTCTGTTCTGCAATAAGTTCTAGGCACATCACTAACAGTTACACCCTTGCATTCCTTCACATAAACTTATCTCTTTATGTAGCAAAATAATTGTGTGCTTATTATGTATAGGATACTGTTCCACTTTGGACATGGAAGGAAAAAGGTAACTGAGTGCCAGCATCTTCTATTTGAAGACGTATACATGTACAGGAAATAATATAAGGAAGCGGAAACATTTTTGTTTTCTGGGGAAAGGGGAGTAGGTTGAGGGGACAGAGGATAGAAGAATGGAGAGCGAAAGAGTGATGGAATATAGTCATGCCATTCCATGTATAATGGGGAGAACAATGAAAGGGGTGACATTGACCCAGATGCATTGAATTCATAAATCGATATGTTGAAGTGATGCTCTCTTATTTAAAGATACTCCCATCCTTAAAGATAATCGTTTTAAAATTAGCCATAAACTCTTTCATAGTTGGCACCAAGATAAAAGAATGAGAATAGGGAACCAAGCAGAATCCTATGTGGAAAAGAAAGCAGCTTTTGAGCCATCACACAAAGGAAAATGTCAGCTTCATCCCAGTAACCTCCGCAGTCCAGAGCCCAGGCCTCAGGGCAGGCCAGAGCGAGAGAGCTGGGCAGGGGCAGGAGGTAACACCGCAGGAATGCTGATGGAATGCAGAGGACCCGCCCATAGAGACGTGCAACTTGGTACCTGACTCTGGCCACACCCCAGCACAACGGAGAAGCTTTTCCATCTTCCAAGACTTGTTTTTTCTTTATTTTTTTTACTCCCTGAAGACAACCAT